AAAACTTAAGATTTAAGGAGAAATTCAACAATAATGTTCTTTAAATGTACAGCTGCTCTTAAAAGCAGTTTGTGTGATGACAGCACACTGGGATTTGTTTATCAGTTTTAACATGAACCTTGTTGTAGTGCATCTGTTCATAACAAAAGTCAAGATATTTTAATAAATCTTTATTATCAACAGCAACAATTAAATGTTACAAAGATGTGTTAAAGGCATGCGGGTAAAGAAAACGTGTACAATTAGGGATTACTTTAAACAGTTAATCAAATGAGGATGAATGATTTATCATGAGCTGCTCCATTAGAGCATTTCTGACAGCATCTCTTCCTTCCCCAACTTCCTGTGTCACAGCCATGCGGGGTGGCTGGGCAGCTGCTTCTGCATCAGGTTCATCCAATACGGTCTCGTACGTCTCTCCATGACTTTCACACAGGTTATGTGTGTATCTTTGTGAAAAGAAATCGTCCATCATTAAACAGGGGTGGAGGCCTACGTGTTCAACTGTCCCCCTCTTACAATGCTGTGATTGCTAGTATCACTCAGCCCTCTGTGAACAGTAAACAGCCATCAGGTGCTAATGATCCATTGTTAGGCTGATGGTCCTTCTTGAGCATGTGAGCAGCTGGTTCTGGTTGTCAACAGCAAACTGGTTGATCCACTCTGAGAAGGTGCTATTTAAGAGACTGAGCTGAATACAGCTCCTCAGACTGAGGAAGTCTCTCTGATGAGAGACGAAACGTTTCTACATTTTTTTGCTTTGCTTTGTTTTTTGCTTTTTTTTAATGTCCAGAGGACCAGATTGAAGTTTTTTGGAAAGCAATTTAGTGTTCCTGTTGGCCTATTGTCAAACCAGTTATGTTTTAATGAGACCGCACAGCAATGGCAAACGGTTCAATTGCTAGAATAAATAATAAGGGGGACAGGGGGCACCCCTGTCTACATCCCAGTTTGAATTTAAATTATTTAGATATAACGCCATTTGTTAATTGTATTGTTGCACTCAACCTCTGCTTCCAGCTCTTTTGTTTTTTTGATAGGTTTGTTTTGCCTTATAACTCGCAAAGCTAATTATCTGACCTCTTATATAGGCTTTAAAGGCTTCCCACCTTGAAGAGGGTGGTGTTTCATGTGTACTGGTTTAAAAAAATGTTAATTTGATTACCTATGAAATATATAAATTCTAAATTTAAGAGCCATTTTTGGTTTAAATTTCCATCTAGGTGGGTCTCTCAGTCGTAAGTCTTCATTTATTAGTGAATTTAGTGCATGGTCAGATATTAAGATGCTATCATTGTCAGGGTTCTGATAGAGCAATTCAGGAGTGAACCCAGTAATGCAGGTAAGAGTCAGGACTCAAGGGTTTACAAAAATAAATACTCTTTAATAATAATAATAAAAAATCAAAAAGGCTGACGTGGCAGCAACTTACAAAAACAGGGAACAAGGAACAGACCAGGCTGGTAGGACAGGACAATACCCAACGACGGCGTGACAAAGGACAAGACTCACAGACAGACTTATATACACAGACAGGACAGGACATAATTACAAACAGCTGGGAATAGCAGGAGCAACAAATCAAGAATAATGAGACACACAAGGCGTACAGACAAGGGAGGCCCACTAGATGGTGTCATCCTTACAATCATATTCATAGTCCTTTATTTTATGTCTCAAATAGCCAGAAATTAAAAAGTAATCAATGCGTGAATATGATTTATGTGTACTTGAATAACAGGAGCATTTTAAACCCTTGGGATTCATATCTCTCCAAATATCCATCAGATTGAGTTCCTTCATAAAGTGTTGAATTGTTTGTCTACGTTTAGAATGAGAGTTGTCAATACCTGAGCTTCTATCCAATTCTGGATTCAGTGTGCAATTAAAATTCCCTGCTATAATATACTGTAGCTACCAGATAGAGATTAGACTGTAAGAAAGATATTTTGAAAAAACTTTGGGTCATCAATATTTGGGGTATAAATATTATTTTAAATTTTAGAGTTACCAGTCAGCCTAAAAATCCATGTTTTTGGTCTGTGGAAGAAAACTGGAGTACCCGGAGAAAATCAACGCAGCACGGAGAGAACATGCAAACTCCACCCATCCCACTATAAATCCACCTTAACAGATGCAGTCAGGCAAGAATCCCCGTGGACTATGATGTTTGCAGATGACATTGTGATCTGCAGTGAGAACAGGGAACAGGTGGAAGAGAACTTGGAGAGGTGGAGGTATGCACTTGAAAGAAGAGGAATGAAAGCCAGCCGTAGTAAGACAGAGTACATGTGTGTGAATGAGAGGGAGGAGGTGGAACAGTGAAGCTACAAGGAGCAGAGGTCACAAAGGTGCAGGACTTCAAGGACTTAGGGTCCACTGTCCAGGGAAATGGGGAGTGTGGTAAAGAGGTGAAAAGAGAGTCCAGGCAGGATGGAGAGGATGGAGAAAAGTTTCAAGAGTGATTTGCAAAAAAATGATGTCAGCAAATGTCATAGGAAAAGTTTACAAGACAGTGGTGAGACCAGCTATGTTGTATGGTCTGGAGACAAAGACACGGACAAAAAGACTGGAGAAAGAACTGGAAGTGGCAGAAATGAAGATGTTGAGGTTCTCCTTGGGAGTAACAAGGATGGCGAAGATTAGGAATGAGATCATCAGAGGTACAGCACAGGTTGAACAATAGGGAGATGATTACTTATTTATTGAATTTAATTATTATAAAATTTTTATTTCCATCCATTATCTTTACCCGGTTCGTCCTTTTTGGGTCATGGATGTCACTGGTGCCCATGTCCAGCTTTCACTGTGTGAGAAGCAGGGGACACCCTGGACAGGTCTCCAGTCCATCACAGGGACACATAGAGACAAACAAACATTCTCTTTCTCTCATCTAGGGACAATTTAGAGTTACCAATCAGCCTAACATGCATGTTTTTGGTCGGTGGGAGGAAACCGGAGTACCTGGAGAAAACACAAGCAGCACAGAGAGAACATGTGTTCGTCTGTCTCTCCTTCCTGTCCTCTCAACCTGCCGGTCAAAGCAGATGGTCTCTTGTCCTGAGCTGGTTCTGCTGGAGGTTTCCTTCTTTTAAAAGGGAGTTTTTCCTTTCCACTGTTGCCACTGTGCTTGCTCAGGATGGGAGACTGCAACAAAGCCAAGATTCAACTTGTCTGCTGGATTCCTTAGATAGAGAACTTTACTAATTGGCTTTTATGTGAATGTTCCTGTAAAGTGCCCTGAGACAACTTTGTTGTGATTTGGCGCTACATAAATAAACTGAACTGAAGAAAGGTCCCCGGCCGGTATTTGAACCAGGGCGACCTTCTCGCTGAGAGGTGGCAGCTCTACCAACTGCTCCACCATGCTGCCCTTAAATTTGAATAATTATGAAAATTAATCTATGGGGGCCAAGGCCACCATTGGCCATCCCTGGCTCCACCATTGCTCTAGGACAAAATTATTTCCTCCACTTGCCAGGATTTATCAGTCTGTGCTGCCTCAGACAAGCAAAAATGAAACAAAATAAAACCTCCCTCTGTTCTCCTATCTCCTGCCCACATGACCATCTTGCACCAGAAACATTGGTTACTTGCAGTCTCTGTTCAATTCCAGTCCAGAAAAACACTCATCTCTAAAACTACAAACATTCACTGTTTAAATCCCGTATAGACAAGGGACATCAGCATGCCACTTGTTTGCTCTTGAAGTTTCCTGAAAGTCCACTCTTTTGGGTCTGCACTTCTCGCAACATGTACTGAGGAAACACAAATTTGACATTTTTAAGCAAACCATGTATTTTTTGCATTTGACTTAAAAAAAGCTTCAACTTATGTTGAAAACTAGAACACGATTGGTTAGTCATGAATAAAATAAGCCTATGAGCCTGAAACCTATTTCTCCACATTTAAAGTTTGATGTATAACATAACTTTCCACACTGTACACGTGTCTTTTTTAACAAAGTTGTGCAAAATCATTTTCACACAATTCAAACTGTAGAACACCATGAGCGTGTAACATTCAGGACCTATGAAACTGTATGTAACTTGCAGTTTTTGAGTAGTTTTGTACAACTGTTGCATTTTGTTTTTGTGATCAGACTTTAAAGATAATATATTCTGTCTCCTTGCAGGTGTGTGCGAGTCACTGACACAGGATTGGGTTATTTGTCCACCATGTCGTCACTAAGAAGTCTTTATCTACGCTGGTGCTGTCAGGTAATCAACCACAAAATGAAACAAAATGAGGGAGCTTTTACAACTTTTAAAATTCATCACATAGAAATTTCTGTACATGTTATGCTCTGGTGGCATGGTGGCACAGTGAGTCGGTTGGTAGAGCTGTTGCCTCTCAGCAAGAAGGTTGACGGATTGAATCCTGGCCGGGGGCCTCTCTGGGTTGAGTTTGCATGTTCTCTCCGTGCATGCGTGGGTTTTCTCTGGGTACTCCAGTTTCCTCCCACAGACTAAAAACGTGCATGTTGGACTGATTAGTAACTCTAAATTGTCTCTAGGTGTTAGTGACAGAGTGAATGGTTATTTGTCTCATTTGTCTCAATGCGTCCTTGTGATGGACTGGAGATCTGTCCAGGTGTTCCTGAGATGGACTGGAGACCTGTCCATTGTGTCCCTGTGATGGACTGGAAACCTGTCCAGGCGTCCCTATGATGGACTGGAGACCTGTCCAGGTGTCAACCGCCTCTCACACAGTGACTGCTGGATAGGGGCACCAGTGACCCCCCATGATCCGGAATGGAAGAAGTTGGGATAAGATAATGGATGGATGTTCTGCCCTGTCCACACTATTTCAAATGATTTTTTAAAACAAAAACTTTTTTCCTGCTGCATTCACATTACCTTTTTGGAAACCAGTTTTTGGTGATTTCATGTGGACAGGAGGTACAACATTTTTCAGATTTGATGCCTTAGCCTGTGTTAACTTGAACCTCTTACCATCTAACTGTGATCATTTTTTTACCAGAAAGAGCTACCATGTTTTGGAAAAATCTTTAGCAGAACAAATTATGTTACTTGGAAGAGATGTGGCTTTTAGAGCAGTCATGCTCCAATGGGAGGGTTGGACACTCAATTCCACTAGCAGTCACATGTCCCTGGGCAAGACACTGAACCTCTCATGGCCACTGATGTGTGTCCCATCAGTGTATGAATGTGCTCTAAAGCTCTGATTAGTCTCTACAGATTCAGATTATCTTTGCAGAGATGTAGTAAAGTGCTGTATGAATGTGTGGGCGTAGAGAGATTCAGAGAGTCAGAGTTTCTTTATTGTCATTTGCACCACATGTGGTACAACGAAATTATGTACACAGGGTCACAATTACATCCAATGATAAAATGTAAAAGAAAAACAGCAATAAGATCTAAGATATGAACTAAGAAAAACTAAAAAGTAAAAAACTATCAGCTAAAAATGAGCTAATAGCATAAAAACAATACACTGAACAGCAGCATGGACATGAGTGTGTGTGAGCAGATGAGCACGCATGGACACAGAAGCATTGAAACAGATCAGCAGCAACATGATGTGATTTTTCACATTGATTATCTTGGTTAGATATTCATAAGTCTAGGGGTGCATTCACACATGCTTTATGAATGTGTGTGTAGTAGAATGCTTTATGAATGTGTGTGTAGTAGAATGCTTTATGAATGTGTGTTTAGTAGAGTGCTTTATAAATGTGTGTGTAGTAGAGTGCTGTTTGAATGTGTGTGTAGTAGAGTGCTGTATGAATGTGTGTGACACACACATGAAGACTGATGTGATGTGGCAAGATGGCGCCTGTGTTTGGCTTGGCCTCTGCCAGGTTGTTTGCTTACTTCACATGTTATTTTATTATGTTTCTGTCTGGGGTGGCTTCCTTGCGGACATATGACCGCCACTTGCTACTGGCGATCAAGTCTGTGATGGTCAACCTTCAGTGTCATCAAAACTGAGTTACATTTCCACCACCGTTGGAACCCGGTGTCCCTCCCGGCATCTCTCCTCTCTTACCTGTGGATCCACCCCTGCTCTGGACACGCAGACGAAGGAAGCTGGGGAAGAGAGCAGGCTTCTTCGTGCTGCTCTGTCGGCTTCGGATAAACGAGGCAGCATCGGGTGCGGCCAGGCGATTCAACCTCGGATATGTTGGTGGTGGACTAGTTCAATCGCTCCCAGAAGTTTCCCACACAGGTTGTCACCTGAAGCTGTGGGCATCCAAAGTTCACCGCGGGGGGAATCCTGACTCACTGCGCAGCTTGCCACGTCATCCTGATGCTGCTGTGGACCTCTCTACACGGTCAGCAACTTTCTCCTCTAAAATATCGGTAATTAATGCAAGCCATATTGCTAATAAATCCTTCATTTTAAATAACTTGTTTCGCTCTGAGAGCTTAGACTTTTTGTTTATTTCTGAGACATGGCAGTGTGAAAATGATGTTTCACATCTTGAACTCTGGCCTGAGGGGTGTTCTTTTTTTATCTGCACCACGGATGACAGGCCGTGGAGGTGGCACTGCTGTCAACTACAAAATGGTAAATGGACTGTACTTATATAGCACCTTTCTTTCTTATTGAGATACTCAAAGCGCTTTACACTACAATCTGTGCCTCATTTACCCAGTCATACAGCACTCTACTAGATCTCTACAAAGCTAATTGAACAAATCATTCTAAAGAGACTAATCAGTGCTTTAGATCACAAACATACACCGATGGCACACACATCGGAGGCAACAAGGGGTTCAGTGTCTTGCCCAGGGACACTTTGGCATGTGACTGCTGGTGGATTCGAACCCCAACTCTTGCATTGGAGGACGACTGTTCTAACCACTCATCCACAGCCGCCCCAGATGATCAATTCATCTACTTACAACTCCTTTGAGATGATCATGGCCCGAATAGGCAAAGTTGAGCCTATATATGCCATCCTGGCTTATCGACCACCTGGACCTGCTTCACCTTTTCTCTCAGACTTTCAAGATTTTTTATCTTCTACAGTGAAGCTAAATAGGATCCTCATCTCTGGGGATTTTAATTTTCATGTCGATGATCCAACAAACCATCCCGCTATGGACTTTCTTAATATTATGGACTCTTTTAACTTCTCACAGCATGTGTCTGAGCCTACTCACACTGCAGGCCACAATTTAGACCTGTTTTTTTACTTATGGACTCACTCTTAACAATCTACATATAAAATATGTTGTTTTCACTGACCATAAGGTTGTTTCTTTTAATATTTACTGTTATTTGTAGACTTTTTCTCAGGTTACCTGTAAGCGCAGGCGCTTTATTGACAATTTTGTAGTCGCAGAGTTTTCTTCCCTCTTTTCATTTACAACACCTCCTGATGATGATGATGATGTGGAGCTTCTGGTTGACTCTTTTAATGATCACTGCTTTATTATTCTTGACAGTATTGCTCCTTACAAAACCCACTGTGGGTCCGTTTACCGCTGTTCACCTTTAAACAATCAAACTCGAGAACTCAGGCGCTCTTGTCGGAAAACAGAACGCTTGTGGAAGAGGACTGGTCTCGTTGCCCACCGGGAATATTTTAAGGAACTCCTTGGTGCTTATAACAAGGCAGTTAGTGATGCCAGGTCATCGTATTTTAGCAATCTTATTCACCTGAACAAAAACAATCCTAAAGTGTTATTTGATACTATCAGCAGTATTGTATCTCCCCCAGCGCCCAATGCTTCATTAACCTCAAACAAGGACTGTAACATGTTCCTCAGTTTTTTCATAAAGAAGGTGATGGACCTGAAATCCAATATATCTCCAAGCTCCTCTACTTTTCCAGATGAACCTCAGTGTTCTGAGTCATTTTCTTCTTTTGTTCCGATTACTTTAAATGACCTGACCTCATTAATTGTCAAAATGAAACTTTCTACTTGTTCAACTGGAAATATAACTCCTTCTCTGCTTGTTCAGACTCTAGCCTGTACTGGTCCAACAGTGTTGATGATAATTAACAACTCCCTGAACAAATGGTTCGTCCCATCGTATTTTAAAACAGCAGAGGTGACCCCTCTCTTAAAGAAGCCTAACCTTGATTCTGGCTCCCTTTCCAACTTCCGTCCCATTTCTAAACTGCCTTTTCTCAGCAAATTACTTGAAAAAGTTGTAGAAACACAACTCAGATCCTGGTCCTGTCAGTTACAGATCTCTGATCCTTTTCAGTCTGGTTTTCTAAAACACCATTCCACTGAACCTGCTCTGGTAAAAGTCCACAATGATCTGTTAATGGCTGCTGATGAAGGAAAACGCTCTGTGTTGGTCCTATTAAATCTTAGTGCTGCCTTTGATACCGTTGACCACGCAACCTTATTTAACAAACTGAAGGTTGTGGCTATTATTTCTGGCTCAGCTTTGGACTGGCTCACATCATACCTATCACACAGAACTTTCTGCATCAAGATGGACAGGTTCTCTGATTATGCCCCCTTAACTTGTGAGGTGCCACAAGGCTCAGTTCTGGGTCCACTTTTGTTTTCCTTTTATATTATCCCACTTGCTGGAATTATTCAATCTTTTTCTGATATTTCCTATCACATTTATGCTGATGACATTCAGTTGTATTTTTCATTTAGACCACACCAGCTGGATAAATTGGCCATCCTTGTCCAATGTTTGTCCCGTATCAGTGACTGGCTCGCCAGTAACTTCTTGGTTTTAAACACCAGTAAGACGAAGACTTTGATTACTGCTCCCAGTCATCTTCACCCAAAAATCAATCAGAAAATTGCCTCTTTCTGCACAGTAGCCAAATCAAAAGTAAAAAATTTAGGAGTCACATTTGACTCATCATTAGGCTTTGAGTCTCACATAAGAGCTATTTCCCATTCTTGTTTCTTTCATTTAAGAAACATTTCTAAAATACGACCTATGGTCTCCAGAATTGACCTAGAGAAAATTATTCACGCTTTTGTGTCATCTCGTCTGGACTACTGTAATGTCCTTTTTACCTGCCTGGACAAGTCTTCTGTCTCACGTCTACAAGTAATACAGAACACAGCTGCCAGACTTCTCACCAAATCCAGCAAATACAGGTCCTTCTAAAAAAATTAGCATATTGTGATAAAGGTCATTATTTTCCATAATCTAATGATAAAAATGAAACTTTCATATATTTCAGATTCATTGCACACCAACTGAAATATTTCAGGTCTTTAATTGTTTTAATACTGATGATTATGGCATACAGCTCATGAAA